CTCAACTCTTAAATGTTAGAAAAATCTGTAACCTTCAAACATCACAATTATAGTTTTTATTTAATGTTAATGTTGTTTAATTATACTAATTTATAGGAGCGGTGGGTTGGGTACAAGCTTGGGTACAATGTAAATTTGACACTGAGAAGTGTCTACAGTAAATAACATCCACAGTGTGTAAAGTGCTGTTTATTATTTACTCTTTTTATTTCACTCTTAATTAGTGTTAGACCTACTCGATACAACTGTTTACTTTTGCCTCCTGCAAATGGTATAATTCAGTCAACTTACTCCCTGCAAGAATTATTCCTACCAGACACCTTGTTAGAATCCTTGTAAACAAAATGCACTCTTCAAAATAATAGTGTTTTGATCACTTTTCTTTACCATGTCCAGCTAACACTTGAAAACGGGTACAACTTTAAATGATTGCATGGGGGACAAAAACCAAACACAAATATGTCCATGTTTTAATACAGTTTATTAAAAATAAAAACACTCACCCTCAACCTGTAGTTTATGATTAGGTGTGGGTGTGTGTCCCTGTCCCTTATCACTTGCCATTAAACTGCAGGGTCATTTTAAAAGCTAAAAAAACACAAACATTGTTCGTAAAATACATGGTACATTAAACATTTCTCTTCAAGTGCATTGAAGATAAAGTCCAGCCATATGCAACCTAAAACAAACGTCATCATCGTGCCATTATATTGACTCTAGGGCTGCAGCTAACGATTTTAGTAATCAAGTATTCTACAGATTATTTCATTGTTTAAGAAGTACTTTTGCTTGGCAGCAGCAGCGCCCACCCCCATACTGGGATCAGTTGTGTAAGTTAACTTGTGACTGTGACGATGCAACCCAAACTCATGGCCCAACCAGGTGGAGAACAAACGCATGTGTATACATTTACAGCTGAGGATTGCGGCTTACTTTTGCTAGCCTTCAACTGAACAATCAATCATGATTTCAGTTAAATGCTGAAGTTGCTGTTATGCTACAGGCAACTCGGAACTGGGAAATTTCTGACCTCCAACTAGTAAAAGTACAATGGAATGCCACTTGAAGTCGGATTTCCTACTTAAAAATATGTATGTATGTACCTCGACTTCACAAGTAGCAGCTGAATGACGTTACACAACAATGGCAGCTCCCATGGAAGCATACCATAAACCATAAACTAAAGGGCAAAGTAAAGTATTAAATGAAAACAATACATACTAGTATCAAATAGTAAAACTTGAGTTATTAAAGTTAAAGTTATTCAGTAAATTGTTAAAAAGCCATCCTTTAATTAGCCTAATACCAAGTGCACTGCATGCTGAGGGATTAACTGTGCAAAAACTTGCCAAAGAAACATAAGTTTTTCACATTTAGCCATGTTTATTGTTGCATTTGGCATCATGCACCACCATGCAACTGAAACGCTTTGGAGAGACAGCTAGCTCAAAAAGTGGCATCGGCAGCTACCAGTGGCATTTCCAGTGGCAGCTTGAGATGCCACAGATTTTTCCTGATATGCCACGGCACCTTTCGCCATTTATGTGTATTTCCGGTGGCAGGTGGCGCTTGCTGCTGTTTTATGTGGTATTTCCGGTGGCAATCTAAAAGTGCCACAGGTTTTCCCTGAGGTGCCACGTCACCTTTCGCCATTGGACCCTGACATGCCACAGATTCACCCAGGCACCTGCCGTTGTTTATGTGGGATTTCTGGTTGCAATCTAACATTACAATGCCACGGCATCTGCCGCTGAATCAATCAATAAATAAACCTGGACCGAGAGAAATATGTTAGCAACAGTAGTTTATTATGCAATATATAATATTGTGCGTTTCTTCATGTAAACAGCAAGAGTCATGTTTAATGTACGCATTGTTTGGTGCAATACAGTTGGTTAACCTAGGTAATTATTGTGTGTGTGCAGAGTTGTTACTGTTAGCACTATATTTTTAATATTAAATTCATATGTAATGTTGTTTTCATAGTAATAGATCTGTTTTGCCTTTCTACCAGCAGGTGGCAGTATTTAAATTAATGTCCGGTTTGTGTCTTTGTTAACTGTTTTAAATCCAGGTTACTGATACAGATGTATTTATTCTTCATTTCATTTGTTTTTTATTATTAAGGATTTATTTGTAACCTAGTTACCATCTTCATTCACCCACAGCCCAGTGTTAAACCTGCATGCCCTTCTGTTCTAACCTGGTTCTGCTGTCAGCTTCTTAGCAGCTCAGGCAACAAACACATCAGAAATGTCATAATACAGATCATCTGGCCAAAAGAATGATTTACCACTGTGCTATATGTACTGTGTGAACACTGTTTTGGGAGGTGAGTGTATGAGAAATTGACTGAAACATGGAGAGCACAGCTACTCTCACAATTTTGTCATGTCTCACATCTTTCTTCTCCATTTACAAGGTAAATGTAATCATCACATTAAAACAGGGTTGTAAAATGAAATGAAGTTATACACTCTGTGTATAATGTACAGCATTTGTCAAAAGCATGCCACATTATGGCAACCATTTCACATCTGAAACATGTACAGAGGTACGCAAAAGTTTGTGAACCCTTTAGAATTTTCGGTATTTCTACAGACATATGACCTAAAACTGATTATGTTTGGCAAAAGGAAAACATTCCAGCATAATAACCTTATTCCATCTGTGAAACATTGTGATGGTGGTAGTATCATGATCTGGGCTTGTTGTGTTGCATGTGGGCCAGGAGGGCTAGCCATTGTTGATTCTAAATTTTAATACCAAATTCTCAATGAAAAGTTCAGGACATCTGAAGTGAATAAGAGAACGTGGGTCATACAGCAAGACAACTACCCTAAGCACACAAGTTGCTCTACCAAAAAAGGGTTAAAGAAGAATAAAGTGAATGTTTTGGAATGGCCAACGTCGATGCATTTTGTTAATCGATGAATCATTTCAGCCCTACTGTTGAGCATACAGCGCTAGCTTTCTTTGATTATAATCCTCATAATTGGATTGTTTATATTTTGCAGTGCGAAGATGTTGCTGACACGCCTCACTGTGGTCACTGACTGTCTGGTCCAGTCCTCTTCAACCCAAGTGAAAGGTGGCTGTAGATGGATTTCTGTTTCTCTGGGGATGGTGATGGGGCAGTGGATATAACGCACAGTTTTGGTGTGCGACTTGGTTTCAATTCCCTACTGTGACACGTCCACCGATGGGCCCCATAGCATTTTTTGCTATTGTAAGTAGCTTTGGATAAAAACGTCAGCCAAATGGGTAAATTTAAGTCATGTACAAACTTCTGAACTGTCTGTCTATATGCTCAATATGTTTACTGCAAGATTACAGTGAGGATTTTCAAAACAAAGGTTTTTGCTCGGTGTTAATTTTTATATTGTTCCATTACCTCGTCTACCTGACTTAACAATTTGCATAGTGTGGGACTTCTTACTTTAAACAATCTTTACTTGTTTATGATTCCATAAAAGTAGAATTTCTTATTTATTTTAATTTATTGGAAAAAAATTTCTTACTCAGCATTCAAAGCTCCCTTTTTTATATTATTTAAGTGAAAGTGCTGCTGATGGAATAAAATTATGCATGGTCACTTTTTACACAAAACACAGTAAACTAAGTAGTAAAAAGAAATTGTTTAGCTCAAAGGACTTTGCTCAAGAGATTCTAGTTATTATCACTTAACGCCAAAAAATCTCATGAAGAATCTGGAATGTTCAACTTTATTGCAAAAAATAATGAAAACGAATTGATTATCAAAATTGTTACTGGATAATTATCTGATCAAGCAGTCAATTACTTCTACATTTATTCAGCTTTATGCAAGATGTGCCTTATTTTGTGTCTGTTAAATGTAGAAATGACAGTTTAAAGTTTTGATACTGATTGTTTAATAAAGAGAACTTGAATTGTAATAATGGAGTTGTATTCATATTTTTGAGGACTACTATCTGAAAATGGGCATTTTGTAAATTTTAAGTTGACTGAGTTAGTTTCCATTACTATTTGAGTCTAGCACAATTTTTTTGAGTAGATTTCCCTCAGACTATAAGTTGTGCATAATTACATTTGAGTATTCCATATTTATATATTTCTACATTTATTTATGCCAACTATATGTTTGTCTACGTGTAGCACCTCATCACCAAAACAAATTCCTCGTATGTGTGTAAATCTACTTGGCAATGAAGCTCACATCAGTGAATAAATGTTATTTTAAAGTGTAAGTATTAGATTTAAGTTAAGGTTTACTAAAACATTATTACCACTACTAAAAAAGTTTCCACAAATTTGGAGTATTCTCAACTTATTTGGGTGTGTGTGTCAGACACATACTGAAATTAAAAGAAAAACGTATAAATACAACTAAACGTTTTCTTGGGGTAGGTTGTAACATTTTCATTGTTGTTGTAACTAACCCAGACTCGTAGCCATTAACTAGCTCACCATTCAGCTTACAGCTTACTTTGATGAAAGATATCTACATAATAAACATGATTTAAGTTCAAAGAGTTTAACTACAAAGCAGGCAAAGCTATAAACAAAATAAATTAAGTAAAAAAAAAAACTTTCTTACCTCAATTTATTTTTTTACCTTCTAAAATTGGCTGTGCTACTTTTTACATGTGGAATAAGAACTAAACTGAGCATGTGCAGAGTGAAAAAGGTGATTGCTAGGCCCATTTGTTCCTGATTGGAGATTTTGGACGTGTTAAACTGACCCATGTTATAACCATCCCCGGTCACCCCTACATCATTCATCATTTTGATCAGTGGACCATCCAGGGTGTGGCGGCTCTTCAGACGAGGTCGCTCTCCTCCAGCCTGTTTTGTTTTGCGGCCTCAGCCCGTTGCTAGGAACGCTACAGTGGTTGCTAGGCTAGGGACCCGGCTTATGTGTTGTCCACGGACACGCCTGTTTTGACTTTTGTATTACAACGTGAAGAAGTGTTTAAAGTGCTCGTTGTTAAAAAAAAAAATAAGCTACTAATAGACCACCCATAAAAATACTGACTGTATGTGTGCAAAAAGCCAAACTTCTCTATGTCTTTTGTTACTTTTGTGAAACGGCAGTTAGACTTCTAGCGTGTAACGTTAGCGTTGTTGTTGCCACCCAAAAAGTATTGTTACCCAACTGTAAGTTGTACCGCTTTAAGTTAGCGTTTATTCAAGGCTATTACTCCTAACTTGGGACTTGTAGAGTTACAAGTTTTGAATCCAAGTGTGTATACTGTATTTGCACACAAGGAATGAAACGACTTCGTGTTTTCTGCCCAAATTGACAATTTAGCGGTGTTCACTTTCCGTTCGTTGTAACGTCAAGTTAGCCTGCTGCCATTCGCCGTTGACATGAATTTGTATCACGTTTTGGAGCTGGTGGGAGAGGGCTCGTTTGGTCGAGTTTACAAGGGAAGGAGAAGATTTACAGGGCAAGTAAGTAGCTTTTGTTGGAATGATTTGATAACAGTTTGAATTGTTTGTTTAGCCACACCGTTGCACCTTCTGTGGGTCTGTTTCCATGAGGTGGTGGCTCTTAAGTTCATGCCAAAGGTGGGTCGATCTGAAAAGGAGCTGCGAAGTCTCAAGAGGGAAATTGAGATTATGAGGGGTCTTCAACATCCAAACATTGTCCAACTCTTTGACAGCTTTGAGACTGAAACTGAGGTATGTTTACTATAATCTTCTTTAAACACGGATAACTAATTTTAGTAGTCTACATAAACATTTAGTTAACTTAGATTATTTGATCTACCTCACTGATTATCTGAGTTCCCATGACCATAATCCCTTATATGTTTGTAACAGGTTGTGGTTGTAACTGAGTATGCAGAGGGTCAGTTGTTCCAGATTCTTGAAGATGATGGGAATCTACCAGAGAGCCAGGTATTCATTTCCAGTGTACAGAGTTGTGCCAGACATTAGACTCATCAGAGTTTTACATGATCAACATTTGCTCACTCTTCCTTTCCTCCAAGGTCCGTGAGATCGCCTGCCAGCTGGTCTCAGCTCTGTATTATTTACACTCTCATCGCATTCTTCATAGAGACATGAAACCTCAAAATATACTGTTGGGGAAGAGTGGGGTGGTGAAACTGTGTGACTTTGGGTAGGTAGATGTTGATTATTTTAAAGAAAAAGTAGCTGTATTCATCATTTCCAAAAAGATAAACCATATGTGATGCAATCTCGCTGTAGGTTTGCAAGGGCCATGAGCGTTTCCACCTTGGTGCTGACTTCTATTAAGGGAACACCTCTGTACATGTCTCCTGAGCTGGTGGAGGAGAAGCCATATGACCACACTGCTGATCTCTGGTCTCTGGGCTGCATCCTTTATGAACTCCACACGGGGGCGCCTCCATTCTACACTAACTCCATCTTCCACCTGGTGCAGCTTATAGTGAGAGACCCAGTCAAATGGCCGGACTCTATGAGCACCAGCTGCACGGTACAGTACACCTAAGTCGTGCTGTATCATGTCTGGGTCAAAACCAACATCTGCACTGAACAGTGAAAACAGACAAAGCAAATGTCTTTAATAATTTGGAGATTTGCCGTTCTTTCTTGCCAGTCTTGGTGAGTGGTGTGAAATTCTGATACAAATCCTTTGATCACATTTAGATCCTTTTGAAGGTCTTAAAAAGGTATAATGTGTAACTGTCAGTTACAGAAGATTAACTGCACTTCAGTCCATACTGAGGACATGTCGCTGCTGTCATCCGTGATAGCTACAGACGTGCTTAAGGGGGCAATGGTGACAAGACATAATGTTTTTGATGTATGACAAACAGAATATATTGCCTTAATCACAGTGCTTATCTGTTATTTCCCTTACAGAGTTTCCTGAAAGGTTTGTTGACTAAAGACCCTCAGAAGCGGTTGTCATGGCCAGACCTCCTACACCATCCCTTTGTTGCTGATGGTGTGCTAGGTGATACTTAAAACAATTAATTTTAAGGGAAAATGTCCAAATAGGCATGACGCTGGTTTGTTTTTCAGATTATTCTGATGTCTGATTTGAGATTTGATTGTTTCCCATATTGATGTGTTGGCACAGTGCTGTCAGACACAGGTGTTTTCAGCCCTCTGACCGTCACGCCCAGCCCAGACATACTGGCACTGAAACTTCAGCAAGTGGCGGCAAAGACCCTACCGACTGGACAGAGCAGGTTATTGCAAAAGGCCAGGGAACAGAAGGACAACAGTCACAGAGGGAAACCGGTAGGCGGTGGCAGTGTGAAAGTGAGTCACAAATTGATTTTTCAGTCTTATACAAGTCATGTGGAAAGTCATGGAGGAGCTTTAAGCTGTTCTCTGTACATTAACAGAAAAATAAGGATGGAGTGGGAAATGAAAGGACCAACTCTGCGATGGTCGCAGCATCCCCTAGAGCCAATCCCCCCGCTAGTGATGTCTCTGTTACCTCAGGCCACGCGGTCATGACTGCTGCCAATCAAAGCCTTAACCCAAAGAATCAAACCTGCCAGAGATCAAAACACAGGTGTTTATGGGAGTTCAGAATAAAGATACGATATACCAAAACAGACTGAGGTGTGTGTTCATCGTTATGGGCGTTTCCTCTGCAGGGGTCAGATCAGCAAGGACTATGAACAAGAGTTCCCCTCTGTAGAGGTTGGGCCACGACTAGTGCGGGGATGCAGTGAGGACAGTCAGGTCATACAGCACAGGCAGGTCAGTGTCGGCTGCTTTTTTCCAGCTATAGAAGACATTGTCTATTTAGAAAATGTGTCTTCTTTTTTTTTTCTTCCAGTAGCCCTGAAGAAACTGTGTCCTATGAATCATGTCTTGTTCTTTCAGGGTCCTGACAGTGAGGACTACTGGGAGAAACTGGCCCAAGAATCAGATCCAAGCAGGCAACAGAAAGAACTATTAAACTACAGTGCCATCATACCTCAACTTAAATCCAAGATGCTGGCATTTAAAGCTCAGGTAATTAAGAAAAATTTAAACTGAGCATAAATTGATTCTCTTGGAACAATTTTGCATTTTGTCTCCTTTTTTGTTGTTTTCTTGGTCAGCTAACAGGTGGCGTTAAAGAAGTGTGGCAGATTCACCAACCACTGAAGGTCTTACACAACCTGATTCTGACCTCTGACCTTGAGAAGTTGTACCACATTGGCCGTGAACTTGGACTACCCCATGTCCTCTTTGACATAGTCCAAGATACTGTAGAAAACTCAAATTCCATCAAGGTTATTGCTGTGAAACATGATCAACAATTCATTATTCCTGCAATATTAGTATAGTATTACTGACATTTTTTACTTCAAAATTTTCCTGCTCAGCCACTGTGGAGCGTGCCAGCACTTGGAGAAATTATTGTTGTGCTCATGATCTACTGGGAGAAACACTATGACTGGGTGGAAGAGGCGCATAGGTATAATTATTCCTTTTCTTCATTGAAGCTGCATTTAGTTTGTAAACACTGAGTGACTATCATACGTCTCAGTCATTCACCTGTTGCAGCTCATCATCTATTCTCTTACTGTAGACTGGAAGAGTTCACCAGGCCCTTCATCACAATTCTCAGTCAACCAAACCTCATTCCTTTGGCAGTAAGTACTCATTGAAGTTAGTATGTATACACAGTAAATAGTGACTCAGGCAATTACTTGCGGTTTTACAGGTAGCTTGCCAGTTGTTTGACAAAGCTTATTCTTGATCTCTTCTTTAGCCTCTGGCTGCCTCTGCTTTGTCCCTGTTAACACAACACAATGTTGATGTGGAAGTTGATATGGACAATCTAACTGCTTTGCTGAAAAACCTGCTTCTGGACTCATATCAGGTACTGAATATGTGTAATTTGTATATTTGGCAATCATCTGATTATTGTCATGCAAGTTTAAAGTGATCCGCCAGTGTCACAGGTGTTACACTCTTCTCTGCCTTGTCAGCCCAAAGTTTGTCTTCCTTCTGGCTGGGGACTCTGCGATGGCCTCCTGTCTTTACTCCTTCACACACTCTCTGAGGTCAGAAAATAACTACTGTGTGATTAAAAAAGTGTTTTTGACTGCATGGAGAAAAGAAATTGTCTTTTTTTCCTCTTAACAGCATGAAAATGACCCTGGATCTTCATGTTTAGATCCAGTAATGTTTTTGGAACTGTGGAAAAGAATTGGCACTTCGCTACTAAGGAAAACACCAGACACAGACTTCTGTTCAGCAAATGGTGTGTGTGTGTGTGTATATATATATATATATATTTTTTTTTTTTTTTTTTTTTTTTTTATTAGTGTCTGTGTCCTATGCAGTCTGCCATATTTAAAAAGACTGTTAGTGTATTTTACATATCTTTTCATTTTATTTGTTCATCAGGGCTGTATTCTTTCCTGTCTACCACGCTGTTTCTCTTCACCAAGGATCCTTACTCGTGCATTCCGCTGTTTTCTGAGTGCGAATCAAAATGTGTATACACTCTTGGCCAGATGCTGGGCACTGACTGGTGGGTGTTCGGATTTCCTAATTAACACACTGTTTCATAAGTACCACCAATCTTAAAGCAGTACTGCTACTACGCCTAGAGCTAACAATAACATCTTTTATACCCAGCAGTCTTGATTTGTTTGCTGAAGGCAATCCTGGGAGACTTGAGGTGGATCTGAGTTGCGACAGCCTGTCTGTGTTGAGCTGCCACTTGTTGTGCTTTCCATTTGCCCTGGACCTGCCTTCTCACACCATGTCCACCATTATCCAGTTGTATGACGGTTGTGGTATTGTTCCAAGCCTCCTGCAGGTTAGGGCCTTCCCATTCTTCGATAAATACCTCGCTGACAAACATAATTCTCTGATGCAACACAGGATAACTCTTGCAATAGGCTCACATCAGGCACACACTACTGTACATCTTAATGTCTCTGTGTTTTGTGAGAGCGTTGTGTTGTTTGTTGTCAGGTGTTTGATCTGTGATGGGTTGTCTGGATGATTTTGTTTTTTCGTGCTTTGGCAGGTAATTCAAACCCTTCCTCCTTCGCTACTGGAGCTGCCTCTCTCCCTGCTGAGCCGTTTGCTCCTGTGTGACCCCGAGCGCTCTGTTGCCTGCCTCAGAAAAGCTACCTGTGGTTTTTTTGCGCCACCCAGGAACAGCCAACTCTTTGCCTCCAAACACCAGACTCCTCTAACCAGAACTGCCAGCTCTCTGCTCTCTGACTTGCTGCAGTTGGATGTGCTTTGGGACTCTGCCGTGGAGCTCCTAACTCTGTTGTCCCAAGTAGCCCGCTGTTCCCCTCGACCTGCCTGCCTTCAGCTTCACCTGGAAGCCTCGGTGCTGCACCAAGCGCTGGCTCACTCTCATGACCAGGTCAGGGCTGCTACATGCAGACTTTTGGGACATTTGGATCCATTCAGGCCTACTACACTGCGCACCCTGCAACCTGACATTTTCAGGAGCATGATAGACTGTCTTCACGATTCCTGCATGCCTGTCCGGCGGATGGCTTGCAAGGCAGTTGGGAACTGGTTGGGATACATTGCAGAAGGCTCAGGGTTTAAAATAGATGGGTCCAATGGAAAGGGCAGTGACACTACAAAGTGGGGCATAGAGAAGGAACTGAATAAACACAAGAGTTCACACAGTGAGGGGGCAGGAGATTTGGCTATTATAGTAGATCAGGGAGTGGACTATGAGAAGGGGTGCAAGTGGGTAGAGGAAGCCAGCAGGACAGCGGCCATGCTGGCGCCTCTGATCGCTGACCCTGATGCCCTCACACGTCGTCACTGTTGTGCAGCCATGGGAAACCTGGTAAACGTTGATGGCGCTGTATCCTTGTTGTTGGAGGAGGACGTGTCCAGCTTACTTCTGAGAGCTGCATGCACAGACTCCCATAATGCAGTGAGACAAGCTGCCATAGCAACCCTGCGCCTGTACAGCGAGCGGGACGCAATACGTCAGGTAATGAGAAGAGCAGGTTACAGGAGGGCAGATGTCACCACAATTTTTCCTTTACTGTTTTCAGAATTCGAATATAAGGACCTTTTTGTAATTGTTACATGTTGTAATATATGAGCAACAATATATTTACTACTTTTATAGAAGAAAACAATTCACACTATTTTCTTTTAATACCTTTAAGACTTAATCAGTAGTTGCCTTGAGCTCCTTTATAGAAATCTGTGTACTGCATAGTTCATTTCATATCGTTTTATGGGTTAGTCAAATATTTTGTCATACCTCTGTCATACCTATGTGTTGGCACTTTAAACACTGTATAAAACTAGTTTCAAGTTTGTTACTTTCTATTTATTTGAAGGTCCTGATATCCTTTGATGCCGGTAAGAAACTTCTTCAGGCTTCACAGCTTGCCCCTCCACAATGTGACTATCATCAGCTCATTGGACAGCTGCAAGTGAGTCCAGTTCAGTAGAAATGGTAACAGGTTTGAATGCCACACTTGAATAGTCCTTGTCCTTCCTTACATTACAATAAGAATTCCCCCTGTGGTAAGCAATGTGGTAGAGGACTCAATAAGTATAATAATCCTATCCCGTTTCATATTGTTTCTGAAGTGAAGCTAATGTATCAAATAAAAATGGTGCAAATAAAAAGTGACTAATGAAGATCTTTGTTGGCACCACTCAAACTGTGGTTACATGAGTTGAAATAAAACTGTTACTGTTGATGTTGATCTGCTGTTTCATTTCATGACACAAGTTATCCAGACTTAATGAGAAGAAGCAAGGCAACTGTAATCGAAATGCCTAGAAATAACGCAGTTTGTTTTTAATCCGTGAAGAGACTCCTTATAGGCTACTTTTCCCACTCCCCAATAATCACGGATACGGTAGTCGTTATGAGGAACTATAGGAGGAATTTTTGCCTTTTAAATGGTGCTATAATGTAACAGCAGTGCGGGTTTAAGTTTTTGTACATTTCCGTTGTGTGTTTAGGTGTGGCGCACGTCAACGATTTTTGATTATCTGAATGGACCATGTAGAAAGATAAACGGCATCATATGCCGATTTTATTTTCTACACCTTTTGAAGCAAATTTGAGTTTTTTTTATTTCTGACCATATAAAGAAAATTGATTTGATTTATTGAACTGTCGGGGCCATTGCAAACAACAGACTGGCATTTTTTTCGGCGTGTTGGACGTTTAATTAATTGTTTGTTCCTATTTAAATTGTTCTCTTTGCAGCGTAACATCGACTAAATAATAATAATAGTAATAAAATAAAAGTTTTCATTTCCCCTCATTCGGATCAGAAAGGAGCGCTTGTCGGCGTCCATCAGGCCCCGGATGTTTGAACTTTGCTTTGTCAAAAACGAGTTTTATTACATTCAAAAAGGCAGGACTTGTTTTCCAGCTCAATTAGACAGCAGCCTGTAATTTGTAATTATAAGGCTTTAACAGTCGGTGCAAGCAAAAATAATTCCCATGCAATTCACCAAGTCGAACAGAAAACCTTTGAAAAAAAACACCACGGACAGAGTTGATGACACACTTTATTGTTAAAAGGAAAAAAGTTGACGTATCACAAAGAAATATGCATATGGTAAAATTAACTTGAAATTACAAAGCGTTAGAATGTGTTGTCATTACACATTTTTGGTTTTTAACATCGAAGTTGATAGTACACCGCAGGGCAGTCGAACAATGTGACATAAAGTTCTTGCCTAAAACTAAATAAACCACTAAATGTCAGCGCTCATATCCAAGATTGTCTTAAAATAAATATGCATAGAAAAAAAAATCTACCTCGGCATTGTTTAGCAGTAACAATAGTGGTTAATCGCTTTGCAACTAATGAACTGGAAAATTATTTAGACCTTATCCTCTTACACCAAAGCAAAGGCTGCTAAAGCCTTAACAGATAATCTAATGGGATTTCTTCGGTAAATTTTTTACAAAGAAAAGGCTAACACACTCCACTCCCTGAACATACAAAAGTTGTTACAAATTAGTGCAGATCAGCCAGAGGCCTATAAAACTTATTGCCATAACAAGCAGTTTAGAGAAAAAATCCCCGTTCTGAAATACTACATTTTCTATTCCAAGAGAGAGATACGTTTATGGAAAAACATGCAGAGGGAGGCTGCTAAATCTCCACTAGCTACAATATTTGTACATAAGGAAACCCTTTTTTACATCAGGAAAACCTGTATGTCAACAGCAGGGAAATCTTCACTTCATTTTACCTGCCATGAATCATCCACTGACATTAAAAACTGGAGGACAAATTGCATATCCTGAGCTGCAAAATAGATTGTATAATTTGCAATATGCAAGAGAAGAAAAGTTTACAGATTGCCACAAACAATACAATGTCACTTTCCACCATCAAAACAATATAAATGATAAATTAGTTCTCTTTAGGTCACAGAATCTATGATTTGCAATCACTGCTGCTGCCAAAAAAACCCAAACTGTTTTATTACATTAAAAGTAAAGCAAACATCAGGAAAATAAAACAAAGCTAAAGAGAATGTAATGTTTTTAACAAAGCAGGGTAAAATGTAGATGTTTGACCTTCAGCAAAAAGAAAAGGGAAAAAAAGATTCTCAAAACATACAAATGCCAATAACCAATTAGTGCTGCACTAAACCTGAAGTCAATCAAATAGTTTGTCAAAACATTTTTCTTAACCATATTAAAATGATTAAAATGGTTATTTTTTTCTAAAGTTGATTGTTTCTAAAATCTTTGTATGTTAGCGGTTCTTTCCGCATTTGTAAAAGCCAATAATCTTCAACCGCCATTATCATAATAATAATAATAATAAAAATATTATTACTACATTATATTTTAAAATATTCATAGCAATTAAAATATAATTTGCTGTTCAAAGGAGGGTAGACTCTAGAAAAGTATTTGGTTTGAAAGATGTGCTTAAAATAATGATGCTGTTTTACATGTTGACACCAACAACAATTTATTTCAAATAAAATTTGAAATAGAAAAAACATTAAGTACTATTGCTGACATCAGTTCCTCTGTAAGGCTCTAAAATGTTTAACCTGCATAATGAATAAACATTACCTCTTCAGAAATGACCCTATTTCAGTTAGTAGACTAACGCATTGTGAGATCTGTTAAAAATGATTGTCATTTAAAGCATTGCAATGCCACAGTGCAGGCTCAAGTGATAGAAAGCAATGGAAGCATTGGATAAAGTGTTGATTTAAAATGTAAAAAATACTTCACATTAGCAATGCATGCATTTACCCGCCCGCCATGAAAAAAAAACAAAAATACATTTTCCCTGTTGCGCCCTCTTTTAATGTACTTGTAGGAGCTTGGTGTTACGCTGTTGTGCCCTGCTTGTGCCTTTGGCTACGGGCCTTGTAAACTTCAATCAGCAGGTCTTTGACATACTGGATTTCACGTTCTACCGACTCTGCCTTGTCCCGGAGCTCCCGGTTCCTCCCTTCAAGGCAATGCAACTGTTCCTCCAAAGAATCTAGCTCCGCCCTTTTTCGCTGGCGATACCTGCATTAAGCAAAACAAAGATTAAATTAAGCTCTGTACCTGTGAAATCATGTCAAAAGTTATATTTCATCAAGCAGAAACTAAAACCTACCTGTGAGCGGCAGTTTTGTTCTGATCTCTCTTCTTCTGTTTGCGCTCACCCCCTTCAGCTGGAATGACGTCCGCTTCATATTTCACAGCACAGTGGTCTTCCTTCATCCTGCACGCTTGTCTGTGCCCTGAAGACTCCAAGTTCAGACTCTCCCTAGCCATTACAAGACACTCTGGGCCCTGATCCTCCAGGAAATTACAGTGTAAATCATGCTGCGCTATCTGTAGACTCTCTGATTTCACCTGTTCGTTGATGTTGCCTAAGAAGCTATGATAGGCCTCACACTGTGCTGGTGCCGGGAGATAACAACCCTCGTTGCCCTCTGTTTTCCAAGAAACGCTGGCTTTTGTCACCTCCACACTAGCTTTGATACTATTCAGCACCTCGTTGTTACCAGTGCCTCCGCTGACCTCCCTCATGCTGTACATCAGCAGATCCTCTTTCTTATGTGGGACATCAAGTGATCCACCAAAGCCAAATCCACCACCAACAACCTTCGCACCACCTATGACATCTTGACTGAAACAGCAATTTTTCTCTTCTTTTGGTAGAGCGGCACATCTTCTGACCTCAACTGCACTACTCAGACAGTAGCTTTTCCCTACCAGCTGCTGGTCCTCTTCGCAGCCGTAGTTACCTGTAAGGGTCACGGCTGAGTTACCTGAGTTACTTCCTTTGGAACTCAACAAACTGTTATCATAGCCTTCACTGAACCTAACACCATCAGGAACTCTTTTCCTACCACACCCACTGGGGCGACTGCAGCTGTACGGGGCGTGTCTTGGAATTTTGGATCGCCCAATGGGCCCGCCACAGATACTCAGCAGGTCCAGTTCTCCGGTTGCCAGGGTAACAAGAAGTGGGCTGGATTCCGATTGGTTGGATGTAGAGTATGATGCATATGGCAGCTGACTGAACGACTGAGGACCCGCCGGCAGTGGACCCCTGTCGCATTTTCCCAGCCTCGGCCCTTTCTCTGGCAGTGGTTCAGACAGGAAGTAGTCCTCTAGTTGGGCAAGTTCCTCTTGCAGCAGAGAGGTCATGACCTCCAAGTCAGAGGGCACCTGGATATCATTCTGAAGGGGTGAAGGGGGAAGGGAGGCATTGGTGGAGGAGGGAGGGGAAGGAGGGTTTGGGAGGTACGAGGAGAAATCCACTTCTTCCGTCATCCAGTCAGTGAGACCATTACCTATTAAGGAGAGAAAATAAATTGTTCATCATGCAGTCGTTACAAGCTGTCTGGAGGAGGAAAATAATACAGCTAAGTTATAACGTTCATGCAAACGTTATAAAAATATCAATATCAAAAATGTCATCCAACGCTGCACGTAGCAGTTTCCTAAAAGCATCTGATCGACAGTAGTAAATGCAAAGCAAGATTTGTTCAAAATATAGTTGCAGCATGTGAAGATATTAGACGTAGCTAGTTTATTACTTACTGTTCAAGAAGGACGAATGTGCTGCAGTGCCGAGCCCACCTGAAATGGGGAAAAATATAAAAAAGCATACTCGCTGCAACTCACCAATTAAGTGCTGACTCTCCTCTGACACCTCCCCCCTGCACCCCTGTGATTGGCTGGGGTTAGCCTGTGGGTGAGAGAGAGCGAGGGGGTCTGCCGGGCAGACACGAAGTGTCTTCCAAACAGGAGCTGATGTTGCCATCATTTTGTCTATTGGTGCTTTGATTCAGTCCAAGTCCAAGCATATGCTGAGAGCAAGCAGGGTCTGACAGATGGGCCACAGAGAGCGGGGCTGGGTGAGCATAATGAAACCTAGAGGGTAAAAAGAAAGAGGGTTCAGAAATGTGCTGTTACAAAGATACAACTTATTCAGATGAAATCAGAAATATCACACTTGCTGCCCTCAGCAAGTTTCTCATCATGACACAATGATGAGCTACAATCAAGAAATCACCTACAAATCAATCATGTAAGAATCATGGGGTATTACCTCTCCTAAGCATGCACCTTTAAAAACACATATAATATAGTTCAATTATTTAAAAACTGAATTGAAAATAAGCAATTCCAATGACAAACTATTCCAAAATTGTCACGGTCAGTGATACAGAAGTGAGAGCTCTGTCCTTTGGGCTTTGACCTGCC